TCTCTCTCTCATTACTGTCCTTAGTTCCCTCATTTTCATCCACTCCCTCGGCTCCTAGTCTGGCTGAAAAAACGCTTGCTTGTTCGAATTTCGTAAGGCCATTTTTCCTTTTAGTAGTTTCGATGCCGAGCCTTCGTTATCGAAGATAACTTTAGGAGGCCTTGGGTTTGTTTCAGGTCGCGGCCTGGGTCTGCTTTACCCAGACGGAAGGCTTTATTTACAGTATAGATTTCCCCATCCTTTAGGACAGCGCTGGCGTATTCGTGTATTCGATCATAGTCGTAGGCAACTCGTTCCGTTGTACTGTCTAACGTGGACTCTGGAGCACCCTGTATGACAATGTTTTTTTCCGATTTATGGGCGACTTCTGTATTGCCTCATCTGTGCAGTTTCCACTTGTTTCACTGCCATGTTCCGCGCTTACTGAAGCCCTCGTGTCCGTTTTTGCCTTCGAAGGTGTTCTTTTTGTCTGGATCGTGCTTAAGCTCTGCCCACTTATACTAGTTGTGTGGCTTGATTTGTCTTTTTTGGTAGTCCGCGGGCGATTCTTCGTTCTCTGAGAAGCTTGTGGGTTTATCGTTTTCTCTGTCTGTGACAGACTATCGGTTCCGTCAAGCACCTTGGCTGCCTGATCATTGTTCTGCGTAGACGCTTCGGCGAGGGATGCTACTTCTCCGTACGTAAGGTTACCTCCCTCAAGTTCAGGCATCGCCAGTTTCTCCTCCTGAGGGAGAAGTCGAGGAAATTTCTTCAACTCCTCTATCTCCACTCTTAAACTATTTACCACCTTGTCAAGGTTCGTGAATTTGTTAAGAAGGGTATAATATGATATGTAAGCCTCATCTTTATAATTCGTATCCCTTAAACTTTTAGGACTTTTCGTCCGTTTGGCAGGAGGACTTTTCAAAAGCCGTCTAGACCGTTTTTTGTAGTTGATAACGAACTTTGATAACTGTCACTCCGCCCCATGATAGCCCAGTGAGGTAAGCGCTCGACTTCTACCAGAGGGATCTGAGGTTCAAATCCGGGTAGTGGACCGACTTTTTCTCTTTGGTGCGGTGATGTCGGGAGTTCAAATATAGGCACTGGCGAATGTTTTTTCCCTCCTGCAGGGCTGCATCGCACAAACTTACAATTCCCGAGCATTTTGTGACTTTATAAGAAGGCATTTAGATAAAATTCTGCACTATAATCGATAGAAGTGGAATGATAGCTGAGAAAATTCCCCAAAACCTAATTTTGACGATAGCTTTGACACGGTAGTACAACGAATATCTATGTTATTAAGAACGACTCAGCCTTTGTAGTAGTTCTAGCTCTATTGTTCGGCGATGGCATGGGTTTCCTGGGCGTAGAATTAGTAGAACGGCGAAGGATAGAGTCGATGAAGCCAAAATTTTGCAGGAGTCTGCCTAGTCCGGTTGTAAACTTCTGAAAGGTACTGTATTTGTCTGTCGGGGTTAATTCCTAGTCCTGACAGGCTGTAGAGTCTTCTAATGGCCCTGATCTCGAAGAAATTTTAAATCCCTTGAAGGTCGGAAATGGAGGTCGATTTCGAAGCGCGCGCGGGATCTGGCCGCGAGACCATCATCATTTTGCATAACAGGAATCGGGTTCCTGTTGCGTGTGCTTGTCCGCAAATAACTCATAGCAACTTTCGATTTTTGACAGCTCGACAAATTAAATCGCTCTCAAAGTCTCGTCGTCCTTTGTTTTACCTTGTTCCGCTGGATTTTGTACTCTCAAAAATCTTCGTTGCGGCTTGTGTTGCAAAACTTCTCCCAAAGCTTTCCTTTTTTATTGATCTCCCTTTTGAGATCTCTTTTCAACCATTGAGGTCGGCTAGATATTTTGGGCACTGAAAGTGGACAATGACTGTACATTAGATGCAACAACCACTCCTTAAATTTATTCCAGTCGTCAGAGACATCCCCAGAGAAAAGAAGACCCCAGTCTATTTGTAATGCCTCTTCTCTCATTCGAGAGAAGTCGCCTCGCCATATATTATGCCTTGGTTCGTCTACTGTAGGGGGTAACGAATATAGACCATAAACCCACGAAAGTACAGCGTGATCACTTCGACCTAATGGAGGTAGGCAGCATACC